GCTAAACCTCTCCTTCCTCCTGTGCTGTGGTAATCTCATGTTGTCCCTGAAGACATGTATTCACTGATGGGGACAAATCTTCCTCTGAGAATAAAAACTTCTGGGTGAGTCAAGAGTTGTTCTTTGCTTCAGTTGCTGGCAGAGTTCCCTCAGGCTACCCTCATTAAATCTGCTCTTCTCTCTAAGTCCTTTTATTTCTCAAGTATGCACTATGCCCCCTTCAGCAGTACTCAGTGCCATGCGATTTTGTCCCAGCGAGTTTTCAAGGTGAAAGGATGCTGTGCATAGTTCAACTAGGATCATGCTGAATCTGTAGCTTGCTGTTGGGAGTAGACATCTGAATTCATATAACTAATATACAAGCAGGCTTTTTCATTTGTAAACTGCTTGGATCTTACAAATTCTTTCTCTGGTGAGTGCCTTTTGTGTAGACAATGTTTACTAACCTTTGTGGTCCCTGGTAGTTGTCTCTTACTGATGCATATTCTCTTGTGTAGACAAATCTTTACTTACATTTATGGGATAACTTACTACTTATAAATTGCATAATGTTTCCTGTTTGCTCTGGTAGTAGTCTGCTGCTTGTATAGGTAACTGTTTCATGTGCTTCCAATGCTCTCCCATATTTTATTAAAAGAAATAGTTGACAATAGCTAGAGGTGTATTATGTTTGCCTTAATCACGTAAGAGTCATCAATATCATTTTTATTGTTCTAGATCACAGATGAATTCACTACCTTGTCATTTATTAATGTTATTGATCAGTGGAACCATAATGAAGACAACAGATTGTGATCAATTCTGATTCTCACAAGTCATTTAGCTAAATTACAGAAACCTGAGTCTTAGTGAGTGTACTGCAGTTTCCAAGTCCATCCTTAGAAAAATGATACAATGTCAGTTTCAGTGGACAGAAATGTACATTAGTTGAAAAACACAGTTTTGAATAACATTCACAGACTTAGTAGACATAGAGAGAAACAGTAACAGATTGTGTGTGTGTGTGTTTCTGTGTGTGTGTGTGTGTGTGTGTGTGTGTGTGTGTGTGTTTGACAATAACAGAGAGAGGCAGAGAGAGGTAGAGAGAGAGAGATGGGACTGCTGGGAAGTGTGGGAGGTGGCAGGAGGAGAGCCGAGTCTCCCAGAGTCCTAGCTCTGGCCAAGGCCCTGAATGGATCAGTCACTTCCACTGTGGTAGGGATGCAGGAGCCAGGCACCAATCACCAGGAGAAACCTAGCCAGCAGTGTGAATGGCATGGGTGTTGGGCTGTGCATGGTGTGGGGCTGAGCAGCCTGCACCACAGGTGGTCTTGGCTAGCCTCAGCTCCATGCAGCTTGGGCAGCACCCTGTGAGCAAGGGTAGGTCCTGGAGTGCTGAAGCAGACCTGAAGGACCCTATCCACAAACTGTGTGCAGGGCTCTGGTTAGCCAGACCTGGAGAAGGGAATGTAGCAATGTTCTTCTGAGGATCCAGTGGTGTTTTACAGCCAGAAGCACACTGCTGCTACTGGACTGGAAGTTGAGGTGGTACCAGCAGAGGAGCTCCTGACAAGTGCAAGTTCAGGCTGTGGCCCAGAGCAGAGCATTGGGGTTGTCCGCAGTGGAACATGCAACCCTGTAATCCTGAGCATGGCTGCTGGTGTTGTACCTCAAGGGAAGCGAATCCTGGAATCAGAAGTCTGGTGATTGGCTTGGAGGTGGGGACCCATGGGTGTGTGTTGTTGCTGGTGCAGGCGTTGGGTGGTGGTGAGAGTGAGTTATGGGGCTGAACATTTGCTGGGAAGAAGCAAGAGAGTGTGGCCGGGGATGTGGAGACAGGGGCCGGATGTGCCTCTGCGCACAGTGTGCTCACTGTGCTAACTTTGGCGGTCAAGGAGCTCAGCTGTGGCCAAGGGCACTGCAAGATACACTTTTGCTTCTAGCAGAACCCCTACTTCCACAATGACAAGATCTGCTAGGATCAGAGCCTCCATGTTAGGGAAGCCATAGACAGTGGATTCGGTGTGAGTCCTGAACAGTCATGGGTCCTTTTTGAGATCCCATTGCTGCAGGATATAGGCCTGCATGTTCAGTGCAACCCAGTGGTTCTGTGATTGTGACTGTGATCCAACCGGCTGCAACATTGGCTCCTGCCAACCCAGCATTTGCATTGTCAGACCACGCCTTTCCAGGCACCAACAGCATTGCCTGGATGAGACCAACCCTCATATGCATCATCTAATTCGACTCCAGAACCTTTGCTGGACTCAGGCACGAATGAGGCTGCCAGAGGTTGGCTAGGGAAATGGACCAGTGCTAGTGAGGTGGGCTGGTGATGTAAGATTATAGTAGGCAAAGGTGCCTGCAAAGATGCTCAGGTGATCTTAGGCAGTTCCGGCTTACATGCCCTCCTTCCCTTTCCCCAGATCATCTGCGATAACCTAGGCTCAAGACCTGCTGTACTAACCCAGGGAGGATATCTCCTTCAGGGGAACCATACAGAAGTGGGGTGAGTAACCGATGGACTGGAGCATGAGCATTTCCTTGGGTTGCAGGCTGGGAAGCCAGGTGCATTATATCAGTAGAGCTTCTGCAGAAAAGAGATATCCCCTCATCTGAGACATGAAGAGGTCCTCTGCACCCATATGCCATGGCCAATAGGCAGGAGGCTTGAATGCTCCAAATCCTTCCCCTTTGCCATAAAGGCTGATGGGTCCACCTTCTTGCCGCCAGGCTTCAGGCCTCACACACATCTCCCTCTGCCTGACACTAAGGGTTTTACACTTGTGCTAGTTTTGTTGACCTCTGCCACCAGCATCCATCCCTGCCATCAGCACCCAAACTCGCCTGGGAGCATTGTCAAAGCCTGGGCTGCCTTACAGATACACTGGGATGTGTGCTGGGTCTGGTGTAGTTGGTGGGCATTCAGGCCTGGGCTGGCATCCAGGTGCAAGAGCACAGGTCAACGAGAGCAGGAGCACAAGTGTCAGCATACTGGAGGCAACCTACCAGGAGCACAGTAGCCCAAAATGCGACTGTGGTGGACATGGCATCAGAGGCACGGGCTTGCAAGGCTGGGATCACTTCATCACCCAACATAAACAACCTGGGTTCCGTGGCAGCATCAGCCCAGCAGAGGTTTGGGGAGCCGCATTGAACAGTGTCCTGCCTTTGTTCCTTGACCCAGGTTTGTGCAGGATGTGGAGCAAGATGAGGAGGAGGAGCAGGAATTGGAGTAGGAAGACAACTGAAATTTCCAGTGACTACACAGAGAATGAGACGGCCCTCATGGCCAGTGTGTGGGCATGTCCTTTCTCCAAAGAGAACTGTGTCCCTCCACATCCCTCATTCCCCATCCCTCCACAGCCACTGAGAACACACTGTGTGACTATGAAGTGACACAGAACTTGAACAACGTGCTGTCCACAGGAGATTCCTTTGGCTTAGGTGGTGCTCACAGTGGTTCAGAGGTGCACATGTATGCAAGGCGGGGTTAGCAATTGTGCCTGCAATACCAGCAGCAGACTCCCTAGGTGGTATAAGGGTTCTGCACAGCTGGTCATTATATGGCATGTCAGGTTGGACCCAGGCAGTGCTCCAGGATTGGGTATAGCTTCTGGAGCTCTAGCGTAGAATGGCTCCATAAAGCCAAGGGTGAGGACAGGCTGTGCCACACATACAAGCTGGTTGTGAGGGCATGTGTCTTGTGGTGCAATATGTCTGCAACCCTGAATTCCCAAGGAAAGTCACAGAGGCAACAAGCCAGGGACCTTGCCATCCTGTACAGTGCACAAATGAGAGGAGGAGAATCACTAATACCTTATTTGGATCATTTTATCACAAGGCTTCTGTTTGTAGGAGCTGGACTCAACAAAGAAGAACTCCAAACATCCCAGTTTCCTCTTTTCTCTCTGCTTCTAATACAAAAGGTGTTTTGAAATACTTATTTTGAAATAATTATTCTGGCACTGGTATTTGAGGGAAGGGTTAACCCATCTCTACAATGGTCTTAGTCCAAAAACTGTACAGAAAAGCACATCCCAGGCTTGGAACAGGAACTTTCATGTGAACTTCATCTACATTTCTTTTCCCAGTCTCTCATACAATCACTGGAACACACACAACATCCACGTCACAGAATTTATTCTATTACTTTAGGTTAACACAGCTGTACCCAACTGGCACTTGAGGTCTGTATCTTCCTTCCATCATGTGGCAGACAAGCTCATATATTCCATACCAGGATTTTCAGGGTTTTTACACATCTCCAACAGATTCCATACTAAATGAAAAGGTCTCTGAAACACACAAATTCATAAGGACACACGTCGGCCTCAGAACAACATTAAATGTGTATCAAAGTGGAAAGGATCTGTATAGAAAGCTATCCAAAACTCACGTGTGACTTTTCATTAGTGCTCCCACAATGAGAGAGATTAAAATCAGTTTCCCCTTATCCAGAGCAATTGCTAGTGTTCAATGAAGGAATACATGGCCCAAGAAAACTAAAATATAAGGACATCTATTATTAAAACCTAAACTCCTAATGTGTCTTAGGGCAAAAACACAGCCTTAATATTCATGGATATTTCTGAAAATAGTAGTGAAAGAATCTTCAATGAAACAAACATAACTTGCTGGTATTGAGCTGAAGATCGGTTTGACATAGATGGGCAGGAATATGTCTATTGAAGTGAAGTGATGCTTCAAATTTATTTAGTATCTGCGTGGGTGGACACAAAGCATGCCTACATGTGTGTGATCACACACAACCGTGAGCCAATTTGTCAGAAAATCCTTTTTTTTCCACTAAACCTCAGGTACAACCTTTGGGAATTAAAAGACCATGTCCCTACACACAAGCTCTTACCCAAGGTCAAGGGCTGCTCATCACCTTTCTACATTCCATCTACAGCTGCCTCAGTCCCAAGGTAATATTGCAAATATCCTTGTAGATTATCTCTTAGAAATAAGGAGAAATTTGCTCACTGTTAACTTGCCCTGGAACTTCCAAGATGCACTTAGAATTTCCCCCAGTGAGCAACCACCTCAGCAATCCTGCTGGAGTCTACAAAGTCGTGGTCCACAAGCCAGTTGAAAATGCTGACACTGTTGTTATATGCCATGCTCCTTGGAGCTTCACCCATATAACCCTGAAGCCACTTAATTGGAGAGGAACGATATGCTCTATAGCCTAAGGGACGAGAATGCAAAACAGAGCCAGATCACATCGCCAGTTACCTGTCACCCATGTCCAATATCCAGTCTCTGAGTAACATCTCACCATTGATGTTATCTCGATATTCCTTAACAATCACTGTTTTAGAGAAGTAAGGATTGCTGCGGAAGAACAACCTGATCTTGAAGCGATTCCTGGGATGCTTGAGTTTGACCACCTGTCAGGATAAGATGGAGCATGCTGATTTTTCACCAGTGAGTCTCCTTTCAACTGTTCTAAACTACTTCTGTTACTCACAGTTCCTTCTGCATAGGACTAGCCTGAGGCTCAAGGAACTCACCTGTAGGTTGGTCATGTAGCTAAGGATGTCTTCATCCTTATCACAGATGATGGGAGATATCTGGGAATGGTTCACAAACTACCTATCAAGGAAATTTCACAAGAAAAGCTCAGTGAGTGTGAGTGTGTGTGTGTTTGTGTGTGTGTGTGTGTGTGTGTGTGTGTGTGTGTGTGTGCAACAGAGCCAAAAGCAAGGTCAAACAGGCAGTGCAAAAGAGAAATCTTTTGTTGTTGGGTGCTCCTTAAAATATTGTTATATATAGATCTTCTGTCTTCCAAGACTTGTCCGAATATTTCTTTTTCACAGCTCATAGGAAATAAATGAAGAGCAAGCATCACAGTCTCAGGGCTGTTTGAACATACAACAGAATAATAAATATCAAACTCGAGTCCTATCGTGTGGGACTAGAATTCAGACCTACACAATGCACAGCTGGGTTATTAATATTACTGGATCACAATGTCCCAATACATCCTCAAATAAGAGCTCCTGGTACATGTTAATTTTTAAGTGGTGGACAGAAGGAGGGCCTCTGTCCTCAGTATAGTGAGAGCCCTGATCCTTGTGAGCTAACGATGAACTGCCATTGAGCACTCTGTGTGCCACAGGATCTTACCGGTAACCTGGTAGCAATGGGAAAGACAAGAATCTCCTTTCTCTGACAGGATTCACTCCGAGCTGGTGCTTCCTTTGAGAGCCACCTCAGGCATCATAGTTATTGGCAATAGTCTTCCAACCAGTTGTCAGTGACTGGGTTGGAGAATCATTCTGTTAGCCTAAAATCTCCAACACAGGCAAGACTGTGCTTTCAAAGAACCTTGCTTCCAAGTTGGAGGAATACCTTGACAATTGGTGGACTAATGCATAACAGTGTAGGTTCAGTCAACATGCCCTCCAGTCCTCCCTGGAATGTTTAAATGTGCTGTGGAGGAAATTCATTTTCCTCACAACAAACACTTTTTCACGGTGATGCATTTCCTCAATGCTAACTAGGTGAACGGCTACACTCATGACTTTGACTCAGCACATTAAAGAATACAACTTTAGGGCAGAAGCCAGGGATGTTGTGGATGATCATCCCTCTGCGTTCCATTAGTACCATGCGTTTCTGCTTGAATTCTTTAGCAGCCTCTGCTCAGTCTCTCATAGTCCCTGGTCAATGGATGTCTCCCAGAGCACACTTGTAACTGGGGTTTCCTTGACCCAAATGCCGGTAGAGCCTGCTGGTTCTCATTCCGCCTTTCCTAGTGTGCAATACAGGCTGCTAGGAGCTCCTGCTCCTCCCCTCCTCCTGTACTCACCTCCCTCCATCTTGCTCCTCCCACTTCCTGCTCAGCCACTACCCCAGCACGTTCAAAGTACACAGCAGCCATGTTGATGCTGCTGCCGCCCAGCAGGCAGCACTCTCTCACTCAGCTCACAGGCCTCCCTTTCCTTGGGTCCTTTTCAGAACAGACACGGGGCCCCTGGTTCTAGCAAAGGACACAAACTGGCTGGTACCAGACAGCAGTGGTAACTGCACTCCCAGGCCACAGTCAGGGAGCTAGAAGGGAAGCGGGGCTGCTGGGATATAATCGGAGCCCCTATGGGATGTGGGCGTGCAAGGTGAGGACCTTAACCACTTGTGCCACTGCGCCATTCCCAGGATGCTTTAGTTCTTTAATAAGTTTAGAAGGCAATGGTTCTCATTCAGGCTCATCCCATTCATAGACAACAGGAAAACAGAAAAAATCACCTTCCTTATGTGCCTGATGCTTTGCCCACTCTAAGGCCAACCTTTGTTGGATCTGGTCTAGCTGGAAAGGGCTCACACTGCTTAACCGAATAATTAGGAGGTTTGTCATCCACAGCAGGAGACCACCCATCATGTAATTCAGTTGTCTGTACTTTTTCACAATCCTTAACTCCTGATCTAAATCTTTCTGATTTTAAAAGATCTTCTTTCTGCTTTGTTAAATCTTCCTGATCATTTTCTTTTTTTTTTTACTTTTGTTATTTACATTGTATCATGTGATACAGTTTTATAGGCACTGGGGATTCCCCTCACCCCTGCCATACCCCTCCCCCCATAGTTGATTCCTCCTGATCATTTTCATAACACTTTATATTATCTTCAGGATGAACACTTTTCATTGAGCCATAAGTACAGCCTGAGCCTCCCTTTTTCCATTTAATCAAGGGTGTATGCTCCTGGGGTGGTGCATTCAGAAAAGATGGGGCATACACATCTGTCCCTGCATCCAAAGCTTGTTTCAATGTTTTCCAAAGACCATGCTCTAAGGATGGCATGGCAGCCACCCCATGACTCTGATACCACCTCTTCATGTCATTCCCTACCTGATCCCATGTTTGTAAATCCAGCGTTCTCTCCTCTGGGAACCAGGGACTAATTGTCCATACAAAGTGTAAAAATATTGAAAGCTGATTTTGCTAACCTTTACTCCTTTCTTTAGTAAAGAATGCTTACTAATATCAGCATACATGCTTCTGTCGCTGAATGCACTCTGCCTCATTTTAACTTTATAGTAACAGAGGGTACAAAACATCTCAAGAAATGTTCTGACTATTCTCCCCTCCTAGCCTAACCTTCTGTCAGGGGGCCTGCAGCACCCTGGGTGAAGTCCTATCAATGCTGCTAGAAACAAAAGAGAAAATACCTACCTTTTGGAGTAAAACTTTGGGCGCTACTTGCCGGAGTCCAGCTCCAGCTGAGTTCTGAATTCAAGAAGCGTGCATTGATGAGATGCAATGAAAGAGACTGATGGAGCAGTAGGATTTCATGATGATAAAGGACAATGAAGAAAACCTGTAGGCTTTACTTATACAAAATAGGTCAAACGCTGGTTCAGACTTTTACATCATGGGCAAGATGGGAATTTCTTTGGGTAATTTTGCCATCAGTTTTATCCAGAAACAGTAAAATTCCTGATACAATTCTTATCCTACAACTCAATCTTGTAACACAAAGAAAAAGAGGAAGAAATATATGAGGAAAGAATGAAAGCCTATATTGGTCCCTGGATTAGCATAAGGTCAATGGGGACAGACAAGACAGTAGTGATAATAGCAGGCCCTTTTGCAAGACAAACTCCAAACTCACATTGAATAAAAGGCCAGTCTCACAGTATCAAGCAAACGCCTGGATGAATTAATATTTTTCTTCAGGGTGATCCCATGCCCATGTACAAGTAGCTGGAGCTTCATTTCGGTGGTTGTATAGACATTCAACAGGTGGTCCTGCCAAACAGCTGGAAGTTACTTATGACCTTGCCTGCAATGGAAAAATAGCTTTCACAACTTCCTGTCACCCACATCCACTGCACGTACACCAACAGGCTCAAGCTCTGCTTCCTGAGGTCTTTCCCCCAACATCCCTTGGCACCTCACCTGGACACACACACACACATCCCCACAGGACCTACCAGAGAGGATGTGCAGCTGCTGTAGAAGACAGCTGTCAATGAGTGTATGAGGTTTGGGTGACTACTGAGTGGAAGTGTGCCAATATGTTGAAAACAATGTGAAGGCAAGGGCTTTGACCACTCTGTTCCTGGAAAAGTATTTCTCCCAGGTTGTGGTTTCATTGTCATTCTCTTTAGAGTCACATATGCAAAGGATAGCAATAGCCCTGTGCCACAATGGGGAGTCCTTGAGCCACTATGGAGTCCACATTTATCCTATGTAGAACAGGGACTGACAAAATAGGTTTGAGATTGTGTTGGGACTCTCCCTTGTATGACATGGGTGCCCTGCTCAGCGAGGATTAGCTTTAAAGGACAGATACATGCCAGAAGCTGTCATTCATCTTGGATTCCTGGAGTAGCAAGCTGGTCCAAAACTTTTGTTGGAGGAGTGGGGGAGGGGGTATTTTAGCAGTTTGATGCCCATAGGATTTTAAGCCAGCTGCCACATTTGGTTTATATCTCCAGATGACAGGAAGCTCATCAACCTGGTGTTGGATGAGTTGGAATAACACGAGGTGACAGCACAACATATTTGGTGGAGCAAGACCTCAGACCTCACTCTTGTTTCACTCACCTAAGCCCATGAGTCTGTCCAGGTACAGGGAGCATCCTGATTGGCTGCCTTCTGTGACCTCACAGGGCTCTGTGACCATACCAGCCATCCACTCAGCAGTCGCCTGGTTATAACTGGCCTGGAATGCTATGGTATAAGCATTCTAGAAAAGCCATGGTGACAGACAGGCCAGTTTGAGCTTGATTCACAGAGCTGGCAGGTGACTCAAATTCTGAACTTTTTGGAGTTCCCCTAAAGACCCTCTGCCACTACCACCTAACCACATGCCCACACCCACTCACACATACACACATCCTGACAGGCCATACCTGGGAGTATGTTCAGCCTCCATGTAAGCCAGCTGTCCGTGAGTATATGGTGCTTGGGTTTCAACCGGGTGGAAGTGCGCCAATATGCTGAAAACAGAGTGAATCCCAGGGCTTTTGCAACACTGTTATGAGAAAAGCATTTCTCCCAGGTTGTGGTTTCATTCAGAGTCACATAGGCAGAGGTGATGTATAACACTGTGCCACAATGGGGAGTCCTTGAGCCACTATGGAGACCACATTCACTTAGGTAGAACTGGGACCAATGAGAATGGTTTGACACAACGTTGGGTCTATCCCTTGTATGAAGTGGGTACCAAGCTCAGTGAGCTTTAACTATGAGGAAGAGGTACATGCCAGAACCTGTCATTCATCTCAGTTTCCTGCAGGTGGCAAAGGGGCATGATAGGGTGCCTGTGTGAGTGTCTCTTGGTGTATGCGCCATAGTAGCAGTTTGATGCCCATAGCATTTTTAGCAGTAGCCAAAGTTGGTGTAGAGCTCCAGATGACAGGAAGCTCGCAGGCCTGGGGTTGGATGAGTTGGGCCATCAGGCAGGTGTCAGCACAGCAACTTTGGTAGACTGAAACTCAGGCTCTCACTCTTGCTTCATTCACCTAAGTCCATGTTGCTGTGCAGGTAAAAGGAGCATCCCAATTGGCTGCCCCTCTGTGACCTCATGGGGCTGTGGTCTTGTAGCAGCCATCCACTCAGCAGCTGCCTGATCATAACCGGCCCAGTATTGTCTAGCCTCAGCATTTTAAAAAAGCCATGGCAACTGACAGGCCCCTTTTGCCCCAAAGCAAAAAGCAGGCAGCTGGCTCAAATTCTGATCTCTCTGGTCCTATCCCTATCACCACTCTGCTGAACAACCTTCACACAACACATACACAAACACACACACGCAAACATACACACCCACATCCCCACAGTTCCTACCATTGTGGATGTCTACCCTCTGTGGAAGCCAGCTGTCCGTGAGTATAAAAAGCTTGGATGTTTACCATGGTGGAGTGTGCTAATATGCTGAAAATGGCCAGAAGACAAGGGATTTTCTAACAACACATTTATTAGGAGAGTGTTTCTTCCACGTGGTGGTTTCATTGTCATTCTCTTTAGAGTCACATAGGCAGAGGATGGCCATAAACCTCTGGCATAACTAGGAGTCCTTGAGCCACTATGGAGACCACATTCATCTAGGTAGAACAGGGACTCACAAGAATCATTTGACAGTGCTTTGGGGCTATCATGTGTATGCAGAGGACACCCTATTCACCGAGGTCCAACTATGGGGGACAGATGCATGTCAGTAGCTGTGTGTATCTCAGATTTCTGGAGTAGAAAGCAGTTGCCAATGGGCACGTTGGGCTGTTGTCTGTGAGTGAATGTGTGGAGATGAGCATTTGTAGCAATTTGAGGCCCATCAGATTGTGAGCAGTAGCCTCAGGTGATTTGGAGCTCCAGATGACAGAAAGCTCACAGGTATGGGAGTGAATAAGTTGCACCAACAGGCAGAAGACAGCACAGCAACTTTGGTTTACCATGACCTAGGCCCTCCCTTTTGCTTCACTCAAGCGTATGAGTCTGTCTAATACAGAGAGCAACCTGATTGGCTGCCACTTTGTGAACTTATAGGGCTCTGTGGACATAGCAGCCATACACTCTGCAGCTGCCTGGTCATAACCGGATCAGAATCCTATGGCAACATCATTTTAGAAAAGCCATGGGGATGCAAAGTTCTCTTTTGACCAAGTGCAGAAAGCAGCATGGTGGCTCAATATCTAGTCGCTCTGGTTTTCCTCCAATGATTCTCTGCTCACTAACCCTCCACACACACACACACACACACACACACACACACACACACACACACACACACACACACGCCCACAGGCCCTATCAGGGAAGATGTCTATCATCCATGGAAGCCAGCTATCTGTGAGTATATGGGGCTTTAGTTTCTACTGAGTGGCAGTGTGCCAATATACTGAAAATGATGTGACTTTCAGGGATTTTGCAACACTGTTACAAG